CCCCCCCTTGATGAGAAACTGTAAGAAATGATCGGGGAATCCCTCCGGAGTGGAGTCATGACGACTGGATCTGAATTATGTTTTTGTATTTGGTGGTTTGTGCGCAGCTTCTCCTCCGCAGCAACTCTATAATCCATAATCTACCAGTTAAAGGAAATACAACTAACCTGTTGTGTTATATCAGCTGTACCATTTACCACATATGGTGTTCTTAGTTTCCATACCTCCTGTGTTTTATGAGCGACTTATCAAGTATTGGCAAACGGCATAAAACACGATTAAACATGTATTAAACATAAAACCATGCTCGTATCTACAACCTATAGAAATGCAAAACGGCGTCATTTAGACGTAATTCTATCCTCCTGCTTACCGCATAATTTATGAGAAAACATTTCATAACATTAACCCAACATATTCGAGGCGGTTTTAAATAACATATCCGTATTTATTTATTTCTCCCAGTTATGTTTTTGTGTGCACTGAAGAGTCTCAAACAGGCGTTTGTTAAATCATTTTAAGATTGGCTTTAATCAATGTTTGAAAATGAATACTTCATATATGATAAATGAGAGGTAACATTTTATTTATGGTATTATTTCCACATATTTCTCTCCATTCTTGCTTCTGCCAACGGTGTCGCAGTTTCTCGTCTCTCCCGTTTTTGTGCTTAGTGCGTACGCATGGGTTAGAGTTTGCGTGGAGGAAGTGCAACTGAAGGAGTGTGAATGAGTTGTAAAAAAGTGGGAAATGGTTGGATTTAATTTGGAAATCTAAAGCAGCCATATCCAGCTGTTATGAATTGAGTTCTAACTGTTGCACTCTTATCCACAGGGAAAGTACATGGACATTGAGTTTGACTTCAAAGGAGATCCTCTGGGTGGAGTCATTAGCAACTGTGAGTATTATTGACTTAAATGTCCTATAAAGTCAAACATTTTACTAATCATATTTGTCTTACATTGTGTCCTTTTCTTGTTGTGTTCTTAACCGACACCAATTTGTGCCCCAACGACAGTGAAACAATAAAATAAGTATCTGCTATTTATCTTTAAAAGCAGTTTAAAGTAGATTGACCAACTTTCCAAAAGCCTCAGAATTGATTAAAGCTTGATTGATCTCACTCCCAGACCCCCGCCCCCTCTGCCCTTTCCTCTGTTATCTCCCCTCTCTTCACATTGTTGTGTCTGCGCTGACTTTCCCCGCCAGAGGTCACAGCAACAAAGCGAGGAGCTGATAGCCCGAGACAAAATGAACCCTGTCTCTCGGTTTTGGTCCAACACAAGGGACCGTCTGTGATGAGAGGCCACTGACATGTGACTGCTTCTGGGTTGGCTAGACTGCTGGATGAAGATACTTTTGCCGTATGAATTTAGCTAATTATTTTACTGCAGATATTCTTATTTTGAGGCCTCAGTGCTTATAAAAGAAATTGGATCATTTCTTTTTTGAGAAGTAGCTGATATTGTAGCTGTCTTGTTGCCATAAACTTCGAGCCCAAACCAAAAACATAACCGGATATTGTTTCCACGTTGCTTCTTGAATGTGTGTTTGCTTATCTTGGGGAGACGGGGCATGTTGTGGACAGAGCATGCAATACATTCTCTTTTAAGGATGTTTCCCCGAAATAGGGAAGCCATGTGGCCTTAAAAAAAAAAAAGCAATAACAATATGACTGAAGGGTTTGGCTGGACAAACTGAATAATCCGACACAACACGAATGGGAACAAATGTTTAAAGAACATCCACTGTGACGCTGTAATGGAAAAAGCGGCTCTCCAGGGGTATTGTGCTTACTCTCTCTGCGCTTTTTAACGCATTCTGTATTGCTACTGTCTGCCACTCTGTCAGGGATGTTAAATTATTGATGGGTTGGCTCTTATATAGTTACTTATGTGATTTATGGCCAGTGGGTGCCACAGATTCTGACCCCCCCGCTGCCTCTGACAGCCCTGAGGTCGCTGTGTAGGGCTCTTTAAGTTCAGTGTATCTACACCAGCAGTCAAAGTGGCACTTCTCGCCTCTCAGCGCCCACAGACTGGCGAGTCAGTTTTTCTAAAGATTGACAAAGCCAGAAGCATTTTTCTTATGGTTGGACATTTGAAAGAGGCACTTGTGGATCTTTTTTTGTCTGTGAGTTCAGTATAATGTAAACTCTTATAAAAAAGGTACTGTACATTACCCTCTCAATGATCATTTGTATATAACTTACTTTTGTTTTTCTTCGAAAGCCTCCCCAGTGAATGAAGAATCTTAAAGAGGCCCGATTATGCTAATTTTTCAGGTTCATGTTTGTATGTTGTGCCTCTACTGTGACATGTTTAATACTCAAAAAGCTCTTTATTTTTCTCATACTGCAGCACCTCTTTTCACCCTCTGTCTGAAACCAGAGCCCAGTCTGCTCTGATTGGCTCTTTTCTCAATTGGTCAATCGCTTAGAGATGTCCAACCCCTTAGCCTATCATGTACAATGTGTTGGAGCGCTAGCCAATACAAGCGTGAGGTGTGAGATAATCCCAATGAGATTTATTCTGCTTAAATAAAGGTTAAATTAAACTACATTTTCTCTAACATCTTACTATTTTAATCAAAACAGTTAAACAGTAGGTTACTCACGTCGAGATGGAACTGGTTATGCATTGATACAGTTTTGCTTTTTTGGCCCCCTTTTACTTCAATTATCAAGACTTTTTTCTCTTTCTTTTGTTTTTCGATTCCCCGTAAAGACATGCGAGAAAAGCTGTGTTTTCTTCACAAATGTATTTAGGAAACAAGGGGTGAATTACTGATATATAAATACTCCTTTTGGGTTGAAGTTTTCCTTTAGGTCTCCTTAAAAAAAGACTCTTTCCAACCAGACAATGAAAAGCCATTATTCAGCCAGAGTGGCAGTGAAGAGGATCCCATGCAGCCTCGGATGCTGAGCTCCGCTGTTGGTCTTTAATTAGATCATACTCAGCCTAATGCGGTGAGCAGACCATGGCTCCCCTTCTAATCAGGTACTGTTGCACTTGGTCGCTAGCCCAGGAGAAAAAGGGCTGACGTTTGATATCCTTGAGCGGCTCCTTCCTTGCTCCTGTAGCATGTATACACACAGAAATAATTACCAACTCCAGTCACCTTGGTAACTCAAATACATACAGTTGTTTGGACCAGCAAGCCCTCTAAACTCAGATTTTGGGCATCTTTCATTCTTAAAGTTGCAGCTCAGCCTCTTATTTACTACTCAAGGACACCTCAGAGAATCACCATAGAAACATTTCCCTGTTCTGAGGAAATGGCTCTTTGGTATGATGTGTCATTGCTTCCTTTTGTTGTCCTTTTAATAGATCTGCTGGAGAAGTCACGTGTGGTAAAACAGCCGAGGGGAGAGAGGAACTTCCACATCTTTTATCAGCTCTTGTCCGGCGCCTCCGATGACACACTCAGTAAGTTGTAAAATGCATTGGAAAACCTATTTAGGAAAAAGTGTGGAAGTGCTCCTCAATCTGAGAAAAATGGCAGTTTGAATGACTAAACAAAGGAAATCTACCCTTCTTATCGGCCAAAACCACAAACTGGAGTTGTCATAAGGTTCGCCTGGAGTATCGTCTCTGTTCGAATATCCACGTATCTGCTTACAGGAAGTAATAAATCAAACGTCACAGAAGCCAGCAGAGGAAACTACACTCGCCATTGTTGGGTCTCCTCACACATTGTTTTGATTCTGGAGCCACTTGTATTTGAATGTCCTATGTTTCCTCTTCTAAACTCTCAGCTGGAAACACCAGCATGCAATTCCTTATGTTGGAATCTTACATAAATATTTCCCAGCAGCTGCACGGAACACATGGCCCATGCATTAACGAGCCAATCTTCCTGCCTAACAAACAGTTTCGGAGAACAAAGGGCTAGCAGGGAAACCGGTTCCCTCTATTTGTTTTTCTGCGGACGGAGGGCATTGTTTTTATGTCCGGGACACGGGAGAACAAAATAAGGGTCATTGACTCTCAAGCGTACACACACACACACACACACACACACACACACACACACACACACACACACACACACACACACACACACACACACACACACACACACACACACACACACAGGCCTGATTCAGCTGTAGTTAATGCAGCCACTAATGAAACCCGACACATGCACCCACCAGAGGAATAGATTTCTTCGCAACGAGATAGGGGGGCTTTTAAAAATGCCATTTGATCTTCGGAAACAGTTTTCACAGCAGTAACTCAAGGACCATACACTGTAGAAAATGTGTTTGGAGGAAGGGACAATTGCACCTATTCTAGTGAATGTCTTGGTTTCCCCTCTAGAAGCTCCTTGAATATCTTTTCCACCATCATTACAAGATTGTGTTACGATTTTTTTTGATCAGCTCCTATAAGCTGTGAATGTGTAGTTGTGTAATTTACATTCAATGCAAATGAGGCTTAAATTGCCTTCAGCCAACCAGCTTCAAACAAATGTGAGTTTTAAATGGCAACCACATGTTTTGTGTGTCACAGAGAAGCTGAAGCTGGATCGGGATTTCAGCAAGTACAACTACCTGAGTCTGGACTCTGCCGCCGTCAACGGGCTGGATGATGCGGCCAACTTCAGGACAGTCAGAGTGAGTAGGACATTATATGGAAGTGTAATGTATTCAGTTGAGAAAATGTGCCCAGTTCTTCCTGAAGTACGGAGATATTTATCTATGATTCCTGAGAAATCTTTAACGTCAATATTGTCTGAAGATGCACAAACATTTATTTTTATTTTTTTAGCCATTTTCCTCAAGAAACAGAATGCTTTACACATTCTGTATAAAAACACACATTTGTCAATTACTAACTACCCTCAATTAGACACAATCCTAACTGATATTTGAAGAATACCACTAAATAACTGTTGGGTACAGGTGGAAATTATCTAATTTATCTAAATCTAAAATACTAAACAATCCTAAATACAGTTTTCCCTATAACCCCAGATATACAAACGCAACACAAACAATGGCCTAAACTTGACACAAGCGAAGTCACGCTCCGGCAGCATTAAGCACCAACTTTCCCTTGCTGAGATAATCTAAATCCTGTACAGAGGGTAGAGGCGGCCTGATTTTGCTTTATCTCCTGGTCCCTCCCCTGGATTGGGAAAACACTCTACACAACTCTCCCTCCCACATGTTGCAAAACCAGGTGAACTTTGAACTGAGCTTCTTGTTTCACATTGATCAAACATGGGGAAATTCCACGTGCATCATCTAAAAAAATTCCAACAATGCTTCAACTTGCAAAAGCACATTGGCAGCAGTAGTTATTTAGGGAAAAACCACAGGAGACATGGCAGCTGCTTCCGTTTATTTAAATATGTTTGTGCAAGATCTTGTCCGCATGCACAACGCCACTGTTTCTTATCTCTGAGAGTGACACATGGGATGTTGTGTCTATAAGAGACTGCTACTGCTCCCTATTGTTATCAGTCCTGCTCCAGCATGCTCCACTCCGCTGCTGTTTAAGCCTCAGCAGTGTGTTATGTCACAGTATACTTCACTTGTTTCCATGCATTTCACATCCTGCTTCTCATCACCTCTCACACACAGTTTTCACAGTATTCCCCATACAGCTGCGTTCCACCACCGGAAACACAAGAGGACATTCCCACTAAACAATGAGTCCATCCACATGGCCCCCACTGTTAAAAGCCAAACATGGCCACTCTTTATTTTTTCAATTAAATATTTATTTTAATGTTTAGAAATGTTACCTAACTATGGTACTGAGATAAACTTCAACAAACGTGAAAGACTATACGGAAGCCCGTGGCAAATGCAATTTTGATGATTCACTCGTTCAGGTATGCTTTACATTTTTTTACATCTACTGTGTTTTTGAGCTATTAACGCAAAGGGAAAAGAGTGTATCCGGTTAAAGAAATAAGTTTGGATAGGATTTTATCTTTAAATAAACCGTTGTTGTTGTAATACACATTTTGGCCACAACAGACTGAAGTAAAGATCCGCCCCTATGTTCCTAATGGGAAAGCATTAATGCTAATTTCTCAAATACTCCATGTGTAGTAAACAAAACTATCTAACGACTAAAACAATCCACCACCAGTATTGTTGTATTCCACGTTTTCAAAGATGTACAATACATTCAGAAAAAGAATCCTGGCATCTTTTTTCAAAGCCACCTTTTTCACATATGAACTTAGAAAATATTATCTTGTTACCCGTTTCATCCATAAACGGCAGAGAGAACTACTTTGCCTCTCAGGGCTTCCGTAGGCTTCACTATCACAGCAAACATAAAGCTGTGGGTTTATGATACACAATAATCTCAAGCTCTTCGTTGAATGTCTGTTTTGTTAGCTTGGTAAAGGAAGTTGTTTCATATTTGTATGGAAAACTGTAATTAAGATCAGTACATTTAAATGCTCAATTGGGTAATTGGCTGTTTTTAAATGGGAAGATTGAGCTGATATGTTTTATGGGTTTAGACATGCCTCCTCTTTTCCCGTCATCCATGAATTATGTAAATCAAACGCACCCGTAGTTTAGCCTGGAGTCCCTGGAAATGGAGACCTCAGTCTGGAAGCTCGGCACTCTTGAATTAGAGGCTAACAAGACATGGTGATCCTGTTGGCACAGCTTATTGGCTGCTTGTTCAATCTTTTTCTTTTTTCTTATTTGCCTATTCCAAGTCATTAACATGACAATGCTAGCTGCAGGCGACAGTAATAACGTGCCAGCCTTGTGGAATTGTTTACACTGTCACAATACAATTCTTAGTTCCCCTTTGCTGCCCTGTGTGCATGTCTCTTAATAATTTAACAACATAAACTAATCTGTAGCTCATTCCAAAGTTTTCGCCCTCTCTTCCCAGAATGCCATGCAGATCGTGGGCTTCATGGAGGACGAGGTGCAGTCGGTGCTGGAGCTGGTGGCCGCCGTGCTGAAGCTCGGGAACATTGAGTTCAAGCCGGAGTCGCGCTGCAACGGCAACGACGAGAGCCGCATCAAAGACAAAAACGGTGAGTTTGACAGACGGAAAAAGTCTCACCTTTTAACATGACTTTATAACTAATTTCAACCTTACTATAGGATCATATAAACCTCTAATGATCCACCAAGGTACAATGAGATGTTAAAGCAGCAACAGAAATAAGATTGAAGCACAGGATAGGTCAAGAGGATAACAATTCTGAATATTTAATTATATAAATCTCTGTGTGCAAGTGCATCAGTCAAAAATAAAATGATGTGAATACATTTGACTGAGCCATCTGGGTGTATTCATGTTCCAATCAATATCAGACATGCCGAATCATTTTATCAGTCTGTTCATTTAAATCTACCCCAATGAATTATTGTGAATTTGTTTACATTTACACCTTCGGTCCCACAATCCCTACTGGCCTGATGTTGAGCCACTGCCCCCTATTGGCCACTTTGTCGTCGTCCTCACTTAATACATATTTGTATTTTATGATTTCCTTGTCAAGAGCTGTTCGGGTCAACATATCCACAGCTGTTCTCTTTAGGCAAATACATTTACATATTGTCCTCCCACATTGGCATGATTAATCTCAGTTTTCATATGAACATCCTTATAGCTTATTGCATGCACCTGTGTTCCCATTTTATTTTCAAATGTATTATGTATCATTCCACCAGTGTTTTGACAGAATCATCAAGCCATATTTATTAAGTCAACCAATATTCAAATAGTTTAACTTTAACTTTCAAAAAAAGGGTTGGTTTGAAAAATATGCAACATATAATACCAAGAGGTTTTCAACTGCCAAAAAAGTAGCTGTGAATTCTCACAACTATCAACCGTAACTCTTTTCATGGTGATTAGTTTTACGTGAGGAGCACATTTTAGTGAAAAAATATGTTGATCTTCATCTTCAGAAGCAAAACAAGTTGACATCCAATTCAATATTCAAAGGTTTTATTGTCACATGCACAGTACCTACAGTGTATGGCAAAAATAAAATCTTATGTCCCAGGCTCCTACAACAATGCAACACAAATATATATGTATATATATATGTGTGTGTGTGTGTGTGTGTGTGTGTGTATACATAAAACAATAACAAATAGTGCAAAATGGGCCGAATACAAACGAAATTGTGCAAAACTTGGAAATCCCCCAAATAAATGTTACCCTCATGCCTAGCCCTCATACTCCTTGGCTACCATCTTCACGTTTCACTGGAATATAATATTGCTCACGAAGTTAATCATGTTATTTTTCCTTCTGCAGATTTGAAGGAGATGTGTGAGCTGCTGGGGACCGAACAGACGGTGCTGGAGCGAGCGTTCAGCTACCGCACAGTGGAGGCTAAGCAGGAGAAAGTCTGCACCACACTGAACGTGGCGCAGGTCAGAGACATAGTTACCAATCTGCCTTGCACCAGTTATGCCAATGCGTATCTGCCCTACTTGTATTGACATAAACACACACTCACACACACACACACACACACACACTTGCACACTCACAGGGCATGAAAAGATAAAGGCACATTTCTTCCCCCTGACTTGCTCCTCTGGCTCCCGACTCTCATCCATGTCAATGTAACAGGAAGACCTCTCCATTATAGATAAGCCTTATTCCTCCTGGAGATTCAAATGTAGGTCACATTTTAGAGGTTAGTGAGTAGGTCACATTTTAGAGGTTAGTGAGTTCACGCAGACTGTTTTTTAATAAGAAGTGGATGGGTCCTGTGTGATATAAAGCAGAAGAGGAAAGGATTCAGAGGATTAACCTGACTGTGTTCCGCTCAGGGATAGATTTTATTTCCTTAGTGTTTGACTTGTAGCAAAGTCAAGTATTAGCTGTTCAGATTCTTGAAATGTCGGGTTTTCAGAGATGTACTAAAGGGCAACACATCTGCAAAGACCAATTCAATGAATCTTACAAAATGTATTATAATTATTATAATTTATTATATTTTATTCCATTTAGCCACCTTCTTCCATATCGCAACACTAGTTGTTCTGGTCTTCCATGTCCCCCATTTCTTATATTATAATCCTCCTTTTTTCTAATTTTCCTCATGTTGTTAGTGTATTTAGGTTGACTTGTTAAGTACCCAGTATAAACATTTTGCCAGAAAGGTGCTAAAAAAAATAAAGTTGTAGTAATGAAAATGATTTATTGTATTTTTTTACCAGTAATGTGTCTTTTTACAGGCCTACTATGCCAGAGATGCCCTTGCCAAAAATCTCTACAGTCGTCTGTTTAGCTGGCTAGTTACCAGGATCAACGAAAGCATTAAAGTAAGTAATGTCCAGAATATATTTCCTTTTAATCCATTTGATGTTTTATCAATTCAGGCTGTTCACGCTAATTTAAACTGGCAGCAACCTTTCATCATGTCTGTCTAATATCAACAATATTGTCTCCCCGCAGGCAGCACCGAAATCCCGCCACAAGGTCATGGGTGTGCTCGACATCTATGGCTTTGAGATATTCGAGGTAAGATAAGAGGCCGATCAAACCCACTCTTTATTCTGCTCTTAGCCACAAGGACGGGATCTGATCACCCAAACATTTGATCACATTTAAAATGATTTAGCCCCAGGCTGTTTGGGTGCGTGTTTGGGTACCTGTTGGGAGCTTATCAACCAGAACTAAGGCTGATAAAAACACATTCACATCAGATTAGCTCAGCTTTATTTTGCTCCCAGGGGTGTTTTTTATTTTTTTCCTCCGTGGCATGTTGATTACAACACTTAAATCAGCATTACAGAGTAAAATAAAGTTGAAATACTGAGGAAAAGCACAATGCATTCAAATGTAACAGTGTCCAATATGTCACTTAGGGTTGGGATAATAAGTGCTTGTAAATAAGTATGTGCATGCAAACACATGCCATATAGAGTTTGATACATTTCATAATACATGTATATTCATTAAATGCCCTGTTGCCTGATGCCCTCACTCCCCCTACCCTCCATATGTTCATGTCTATTTTTGTTTCATATCACTGCCTGTTCACCCCACTCACTCTCAAGTCCCTCCCTCTCCTCTCATTGTTGTTTTGTGTCTGGGTCACCAGGATGGAGTAAGTAACACCTGCACCGGCCTGTTTGCTGTGCCAATGTGCATGCTGTGATCTAAACGAGTTAATTCAGCTCCTCATTGAAACGATGATTCGTTGCCCCCCCCCGTGTGCAGTGATAGCCACACGGCTGAAGCGATGTTAAAGAAGCCTTTGCATCGCTTGAATCGTGACATAACACGCAGTTGCCAGTTCATTAGGTACGCCTAGCTAGTGCTAATGCAGTGTAGTACAGCGGCCCTGCAATAAACTCTACATTCATTAAGTTTATAATGTAATGTTCGGCTTTTAGAGAGATCCAAGTTGATGGAAATTGTAGAGGCTTTTGCTGGTAGACCTAATACTGTTTTAGAATGATTGATGTATTGCTCGTCTCTTGTATTAAACTGCATTTATTTGAGCTAGGTGCACCTCATAAACTGGCTACCCAATGTGTTTTGGTTATAAACATTAGTTGACCATTTTGGAACATGCACTTATTTTCTTCTTTTGGAGAGTTATATAAGAAGATTTGTTTGTTTGTTTGTTTGTTTGTTAAATATGAAGCTAAAGCTAGTTAGCCAAGCGTAAAGACTAGAAACTCTGGGAAATGGCTAACCTAGCTTCATCTGAAGCTCACTTAACTAGCTAACTAAAATGTCTTGTTTCCTGGCTTGGAACATTAAATTTCCATGATGTTGCTGCACCAAGCCAAATGATGTTCTGCTAGGTTTCAGATTTAGATTTTCATACAGATTAAACCATTAAGAAATTAATAAGTGAACCAAAGAGGTGCTAGTCGCCAGTTTTGCAACCTTTTCACAGAGCTAGGCTTGCTATCTTTTCCTTGTGTCCAGTTTTTTACGTTAAGTAAAGATACACATTTTGAAACTGTAGCTTCATATGTTCTCTAGAGCAGTGATTCTCAAATGGGGGTACACGGACCCCTAGGGGTACGTTGGGGTACTGCAGGGGGTACGTGAGATTTAAAAAAAGTTAATTAAAAAAATACCATGCATGATTACAAAAATAATCTTAGTACAATAAGTTAAATAGAAAACACAATTGTATATAAAATATTACTAGAACCACCAAGGGGGTCCTCATATAAACATGTCAAATGTGTGTATTGTATTTTATAGTTTTGCATAATATATCATTTTGTTCATTGGTTTGTTAAACAGATATTACTTCAGTTGAAAAACTTTTGAAAAAAAATGTTATGTTATTTTTTTTCATGCATAAAATGAAAATATCTTTAGTTTGTTGTAATGCATGCATGAAGGAGTTAATAAATCGCAGACTGAGGTAACATCACTATATTGGAATTATTTGTATAGGCTTTTTCGATCAAAAATGTTCGGGGTCGGTCAGGGGGTACTTGGCTGAGAAAATGTTTCAAAGGGTGTACATTACTGACAAAGGTTTGAGAAGCACTGCTCTAGAGACATCTACAATGATCCGACTCTTGGAAACAAAGTGAATAAGTGTATTACGCAAGATGGGGAAGTTTTCAGATACATGTTAGACTGATGCTTTGTGATGTTGTTGTAGTCTTATGCTCATTTAACAAACTAACTATATTGAGAACAGTACAAGAATAATCAAAAACGTGTAGTTTGTGAACAGCTCTCCCTCTATGGTTGGCAAGCCACTGTATTTTTTCTCTTCTTGAAATGGTGTTGATTTAAAACTTTTGACGCAAGGACTTTCCCCTACCTTTGTGCAAGTGAATCAACACTCATAGCCCATTAACTTCAAACAAAGTTTTACGACGGTGGTTTGCTCAAACTGCCATGAAGTGCTTGTAATAGAATAGCTGCTGAAATATTGTAGGGTTAAAGTTTGTCATATTTCAGTCCAGTGTCTGCTGCTTCCACTTGGGTACAGACGTGTGTGTGTGTGTGTGTGTGTGTGTGTGTGTGTGTGTGTGTGTGTGTGTGTGTGTGTGTGTGTGTGTGTGTGTGTGTGTGTGTGTGTGTGTGTGTGTGTGTGTGTGTGTGTGTGTGGTAGGGGTGAAGACCTTTAGGTTTCTCAGTAAAAGGAAATTAAGTTTTAACATTAATAACCAAAGTCCTGGAGGCTATGTGTCCCGTTTCCTGGCCACTGAGAAACCTTGCCGTGTCTTTCACTCTGAGCTCTTAGACTAAACATGCCGCTTTAACCACTGTTGTGTCCTTAGAAAATGAATGTTGACCTAACCTGGCCTATAATAGGGCCGACCGCCACTAAGCATGACTCACCTCCAAATGCTCATAATTGACAACGATGATAATTCTGTAAACGCCGGGAGTTAAAACGGCCCGAGCCTTTTAAACTCTGTCAATGTTTAATAAAGTCAGTGACAATTTTAAGGAAGTGTTCTCGCAAAATTTTACTGGCATAAGTTGTTCATTGTCTATATTGAATACATGTTTTTTTTTCAGTGATGGTTATCACAGTTAGAAGGTAGAATGCGTCTGCTAAAGGTTATAGTCTGTTCAAGACTTCCTGATTTCACATCTCAGAAAATATGTTCTTGGGATTGAAGGTCAGGGATTTAATTTATTTTAAAATGTATTTCTTAGCTTGATTTATCTTTAGACACTTTTGTGACAACACTTCAGAATTGAGTTAGCAGGTTTTTGAAAAAGTTTAATTTACTGGTTCCTGTTGCAGACTTATACTACAGTATCTGCAGCAAAATGAATAGAAAAATAAACTGATTATGGTTGATGAAGCATTTTCTTACCATAGTGTTTTTTTAAGAAACTCCCAAGAACAATGTTTTGAAATGAGTTCTTAAATTGAACAGAACTGGAACATGTCTGCTTTCCCCAATAATGCAGTTTAAGAAAAAAGGCCATATCACAATGAGAATGAGATTGAGTTAACAGGCACCTTCTTAATTTCACATGTTACCAATGTCTGGAACTAATGGTGTTTTTTTCCGGTTGCTACTCCAACAGGAAAACAGCTTTGAACAGTTCATCATCAACTACTGTAACGAAAAGCTGCAGCAGATCTTCATCGAGTTGACCCTCCGCGAGGAGCAGGAGGAGTACGTCAGAGAGGTAAGTTACTATACTCACATTCACAAATATACAACACCCACATAATCAATTGACCATAGAAGGGTGCAATTCAATCACCAATTGGTTTGAGGACTATATTTTGGAAGGATGCCATCTTGTTTTTTTCGGAAATGAATTTAAGCTAAGTATTAATGAATGCTGAACAAGACATTTTCTGGAAGTATTGTTAAAATGTACTTTCTTGAACTGAAAACACACTGAGAGAGGGTTAAAGTTTCAAGGTGCAAAGAACGGCAAGACCAAAATTGGAAACAAGATGGTAGCAACCAGTCAAACACAAGGTAGCCTATCCTTAAAGCATACCCTTCTTTATTGTTGTCATAATATAAGAAAGGAACATCATCCTATATTGAAGATCACTTGAAACTAGCCATTGAGTTTTTGGATTCATCAGGACAAAGTTTACTGAATCAAGTGAGAAATAGGGTAATTTTCTCATAGACTTTTATACAATGTTATTGACTTATTTCTAGATTCGCCCCTGGCTGTATAATAAAGAGAATGCAGGTTAAGGGGACTACTGCATTGACCTCACTTTTCAGACACAGAGGTTGACGCTTACTCCTGTATAGTCTGGTGGTGGACACTTGGATAAATTACCCATCAACCCCAGCTTTCAGCCCTGGGATCCCTCTCTCACCTGCAACTGTACATTCACATCCCTCAACATGTCAGCACTCCATTTGTCGGGTTGGCCGTTCATCATTACACACCCCTGAAGCGTAATCGCAACATGGTCATGTCACTCATCTTTTAAACCTGTTGCGCCTTCTTTGCCATAACCTGCATGCTTACCCTCGAACCCTAACACATTTTCTACTCCATTTACGTCTTCCATCCCGTCCCCGTCGTCCATCACAGTCCGAGTTTATTCTCCCCCTCTGTGCAGTCCCGAGGACGGAAGTGATCCCTCACTCCGGCGAGAGTAAACACTACCCCGTTGTGGGCCTTTTAAGCTCTGTTTGTTTTCAGTGCTCTGTGTATGTGCAGTGGTGACCCCCACACCCCTATCCCCACTAACACCACCACCAACAATATTCCACTGCTGGCCATTATCCAGTACACTGCATGGGAAAATACCACAGCGCTCGAGAAAGGAGGGAGCACCGCCAATGAGGAATTTGCCCGTCAGTTTAAGCCACGCCTTCTTTGCGCCCTCTCCCTCGAAATAACTGTCAAGTTGCTTACATGAACTGTTCCCAACCCATTAGCAGCTGTGAATGAGATGCGGCAAAGTTGGGTTTTCAGGGTCCTTTTTCTTTAAGAGGGTAAGATGGATAATGTTTCTCCTTTCCTTTCTAAAAAGGCTCTGTCCTTACTCAGATGATGGGAAAAGACAGAGTAGTAGAGAAAGCCCTTTGAATATAGCATCAAGCAACAAGGACAAATGTGGCTATTAAGATCAATGTACCAACATTAAGACTGATTTCATCATTCCTTAAAAACTGCACTAAAGTTTATGATCAAAGGGATGTTTAAATAAGAAATAACTGTAACCTTAAGGAGGCCTCGCCAGTTTAGTGTTTCCGAGACATATGTTCCCATTAGGCTCAAATTCCCCATGTTAATGGTAAGTGCCGGAGTCTATAACAATGTAAAACGTAGGGGGTTTAAGGTTATAGTTAAAGACACATTAAATGTAATGCAATTATTTGTGGGTACTCAATTTTAGCATCTGCTTTTGCAAAAGGTTGAGTTTTAAAGAGGCCCTTTTGGGGTTTTTCCTTTCCATTAGTGTGTTTATATTGTTTTTTTGTGCATGTAAATGTTCTGCTAAAATCCCAAGTTCACGCCATAGGGAGTTGCTTCTAGTACTGTCAGTTCTGTCTGATGAAACTCAACCATCAAACAATCAACTCTTGAGTGTCTTACCGCTGTAGAAAAGACATCTTGTTTGCGCAAGACTGAAAGAAAGTCATTGTTCCTTTGACCTTAATTTCTTTTGTTACAGGGCATCGAGTGGACCAATATTGAATATTTCAACAACGCCATTATCTGCGACCTGATAGAGAATGTAAGTTCACCACAGGCACCCGTAGCACTTTTCAACTAGTCATCAAAGCACTGGCTAAAGGCCAATAGCAAAAAGGCAATAGCTCTGGGTATTAAACACTTCATTATTGGTCATTTATAAAAACTTTAAACGTCCACCTACCTTTCAATCTACAGCACCAAAATGGCATCTTGGCCATGTTGGACGAGGAGTGCCTGAGGCCGGGGACGGTCACCGATGAGACCTTCCTGGACAAACTGAACACCATCTGCGCTGAACACCTGCACTTTGAGAGTCGCCTCAGCAAGAGTTCAAAGTTCCTCACTGACCACAGCCTGCCTCACAACTGCTTCCGCATCCAGCACTACGCCGGCAAGGTACCATACATCATTCTGTGTACTTGATGATAATAATGAAATTAAAGATGATTTTTGTTGGAGGCCATTTTATTTTAAATGCCTTGATACTGTTAGCCAACAAAGTTCTGGGTCAGTATCCTTTACATACAACAAAATGTCCAATTTCATTACCATCTACTTATTTTTCAGTTTGTTCACATTTAATTTAACATTTATATTTTATTGGAATGTTTACTCCTAAAATCTAAATATGTTCATGGCTGTTAGTTAAGTTTAACTCTGATCGCATTTAGGGAATGAAAAACTGAAAAAAAAAAAAAAGAAGACCATTTGTTCAGTTGTCTTCCTTCACTTATGTTCTTCCCTATTTGTATTAAGGTGCTTTACCGCGCCGAGGGCTTCGTAGACAAGAACAACGACCTGTTATACCGGGACCTGTCGCAGGCCATGTACAAGGCCAACCACAGCCTCATGAAACAGCTGTTCCCTGAGGGCAACCCCGCCAAAGTCAACCTGAAGAGACCGCCAACTGCTGGATTCCAGTTCAGACATTCAGTCGGGACGCTCATGAGGAACCTGCAGACCAAGAACCCTAACTACATCCGGTAAAATCCTGTTATTCATCTAGGGAAAATATCAGTTATCACTCAAAATCTAGCATTTTATTTAATTATCTAGTTCAGAAAATAGCTTTTTTTTAAATGAGAAATTCAGGAATACTTGCCAATAAATTCAACAGATTCCCTCTAAAATCCATTCAGTGTGACCTCAGTGTGAACAACATCTCTCTCTGCCTCCCCAGGTGCATCAAGCCCAACGACAAGAAGGCCTCCCACATCTTCACCGACTCCCTGGTCTGCCACCAGGTGCGCTACCTGGGCCTGATGGAGAATGTGCGTGTGCGGAGAGCCGGCTACGCCTTCCGCCAGGCCTACGAGCCGTGCCTGGAACGCTACAAAATGCTCTGCAAGCGGACCTGGCCCCATTGGAGAGGGCCTGCAAGGTAATGCTGCTGTTTATCCTGAAGCAGCGACTTAATTGCACGGTGGAGGCAGAGTAGAGGAAAAAAATGGTATTGTCACTGGATAGTGGCCAAAACAAATCCCTCCCAGGTTTTTTGAGAAACTGCGAGTGCGAAAACTAACAACACTTATACTTCGGGTATCTTTAACTAAGGACTGAACCTCAGAGTACTCCCAGTGGAGGCACTGTGCCCGGCACTAATAGGCTGCACTTCCAGTGGTCAGCTCCCAGGTGGGATTGTGGGGGGCTGTGTAAATGTGAAGCAGGTTATTTCTATAGCTTTCTGCGCATTAATAAAGGTCAATTATAGGACATATTTAGCTCAACTTGAGAAAAGTTTACCCAACATATTGACATATTGACCTTTTTTCTTTTAGGACTCTGGATCAATTCCTAACTTTTAAAAATTGATTTTCAATATTCTTTCGAAAAATAAGCTAGAGATCGCTGCTGATGGACAGTTATCCTGAACAACAAATAATATTAGTGTAAAGGTTGTTTGATATGCTGAAAAATTTAAAATACCAATTTATTATTATTTTGTATAAATGTATTTAGAAAATAATGTATATAACCATAACGGGCAGCATCTTTGATTTTTCGTTTAACTTGAACTTGTTACTTGAAGTCACTTAGGATTCAAGCATACTACCATTTAGTAAAACGCTTAATATTTGTTTCAAGTTGCCGTTGTCTCCAGTCTGCCTTTGGGTGTTTCATATTATTGCAATCAGTTGATATCACTTTTCAAATGTAAAAAAAATCCAAATATTACACACACTTCTCTTAAGGCATAATTTGCGCACAAGACTGGAGAAGATCCCGAAATCAGCACTTCCATACACTAAATCAAAAATGTATTTTGAATAGGGAATTGTTTTGAATTAAATATTATTTTTGGATCAAATCCCAACCCCGGTAATCGTAATCAAATCGTAAGTTATCAAAAGATTTACAACCTTGTAGTTTACATGGTACTTTTATGGAGATGCTCTTTTCTTATCTTCCATGATATAAAATATTTTCCTTTCTTGTGATGGTTATCTAACTTTAATATTACTTTCAGTACACACGTAGACAGTTTCAGGTATTTGCCTAGTCCCTCTCTGAGCCACAACATGTTGAGACGTTTCATCTTATCTGTCTCCCCTGTTCCATATCAGCCAGACGTGCGTGTCTCGTCCCTCTGTGCTGCTAAATGCACTGATTCCTATCTGCTGCACCACACATCGGCCTCTTGTTGTTCAGACATCCCTCTGTGCTTTGTGTGGTTTCCTTATTTCCTCCCTACACATGTTCCTCTGGATTTCCTTCTCCCCTTAATCATTCTTTGTTTCTCAAAACCCCTACAACCCCAAAGCTGTCCTCCCTCACACCCTGAATCTTCTCACCACTCCTATAAATGTTGTTTATGACCACTTTAAATGTCAAATTTGAATGACCCGTATGACCCCTATGGTTCTCCACAGGGAAGGAGTGGAGGTACTGATGGCTGACCTCACGGTCCCAACAGAGGAGTTCTCCTACGGTCGCTCCAAGGTCTTCATCAGGAACCCAAGAACGGTAAAAAAAACTAATAAATATATAATTTTCTTGCCAGTTTTGACATCTGATGTGTATTCCTGTAGATCAAACTGTGTTTAAAATAAATTGCATCCAGTGTGTGCTGATTTTCTCACAGTAAGATGTTTGCAAAGCATGGAGGGCTGAACCCAGAGCCCCTCATCTCAGCAATTAGCATGCAACCCCCAGGAAACAAAAAAACACATGGTTTTACTTATCCATCCCATCGACAACATGGGAAATGAGCGTCTTTACTCGTAGGGTACTGCTCGAGCCTGCAGCGTCTTAGTGGACGTTCTCCCCACCCTGCGAAAAGACCAACAAAGCTTACAATAACATGATCTCATTGTGGGGGAATTTTCTTTTTTCTTACATAATTGCCTTTTCTATCTGATCTGCCTTATATATCTCCAGCTGCAAAACGTAGCGTCTACATTAGTGGATAGTAATCCTTGTTCCCAGGCAATATTTACTTTGGCTGTTTATCTAATATAGCCACTTTTTTAATTCTCATAAAGGTTAGGGGGAATTCCCTTCATTAAACATGGAACACGATTTTGCATCTGCTTAATTTGATATAAATAAGTGACCGTATCTAACCTACATTACCACAACAGGGGGTTATTGAGGAATTCTGTTTCTATAGTATGTGTATGCAAAGATATATTAACAAGAGGACAAATTACATTGGATAACAGCATGAATGATGATGAAGAAAACTTGATTTACACGGGTCATCGCTGTGAGACAGGCAGGAAAGGGTTAACTTTTGGATTGGACATTCGTATTTGTATTAGATAAATCAGTATATGATCAGATCCAAAAAATAATATATCTCATAGTTGGACGTTTCATTTATAAACTTGTTCCCTTTTTACAACTTCCCTGTAACCTTGTTGCAGAGGTTAAAAAGACACCATACTCGGATAAGATAGATTTTGATGCCTTCCAAACTTTAACAGCTGTCATCACACAGGTTTTTTCTCATCCAATACATCCCCTTTGTTTCCCCACAGCTCTTCTCCCTGGAGGAGAGGAGGAGGCAATGTCTACAGGACCTGGCCACGCTCATTCAGAAGATCTACCGCGGCTGGAAGTGTCGCAGCCACTTCCTGCTTCTGAAGAAGAGTCAGATCGTGGTGGCGGCATGGTTCCGCCGATACGCGGTGAGGCTCAGAATCACACACGCACAAAGCTAAACAAACAGATTGACAGATGAAATGGATGCATGCTTGGAGTGTTCATAATTCATTCAAAATAAATATTTTACCTTTTCTCTTCTCACAGCAACAAAATAAATACAAACGGATCAAGAGCGCCACCACTGTAGTGCAGTCCTACACTCGGGGATGGCAGGTGAGCAACTTCCTCTGAATTTAGGAGAGTCAGGTTTATTGCCATGTAGGTTTACACATACTGTAACATTCATTTGCTTTGGTATATAATGTTGGATAGATAACCATAGTAAGAAGAATTAAGTTGTAAAAAAGGAACATATATCAAACTATTTAAAAACAAAATTATAAAATAAAATAAAATCTTTACAAGAAATATAAATATGCAAAACACTGCAATCCAGCATTTGTAGCTTTTTTAATACACCACTGTTTTAATTGTTATGTACCCATTTTATTGTTATATAATGTAAAATGTGCTCATTTTAACTTTCCCTTCTTGTTTTTATATAAATATACATTTGATTTATTTTTTCATTTTTATCATTTACCGGCATGTTTATTTAAATATCTTTAATTTTTTCAATTGTATTTATTTGTTTTTGCACATTTTAACTTTAAGTTATGTTTTCATACATTTTAGCTAATGTTTACTTCACACTTTTATGTTTATGTACATATATTATTCTATTACATTTATTTGAGATTTAGATTTTATTTGATCCTAAATTGGAGCAGTTGTCACAATTTAATTCCCCCTGTAAAAAAGAAAGCATTCTGATTATTAAAATGGAAAAACAATAACAAATATCTCTTTAAAAAAATAAATAAAGATATGCAGTATATCAGAATAAAAAAAATGAAGAGCTGTGTAGTTTAAAAATAATTAGCATTGTGCAGAAATGCGCAAAATATATATGTGCAGAGAAATGGTGGTGCAAGGTTTACCGTATAGAGTATAAGGTGAGTAAGAACAAAATAATAATAATAATAATAATGCATTTAGACACACGTGTAGCCATGCCAAAATCCTTACAGGACATTCAAATGTTTGCATGTCATATTTCCACCAGGCACGCAAACTCCTGAGAGAGCTGAAATATCAGAAGAGATGTGAGGAGGCGGTGACCACCATCTCTGCCTACTGGCACGGCACACAGGTACTGAGTCATAAAAGCGCGAGTCATCACAGAGCAAGGCCTGTTTCAATCATGTCGGAGAAAAAAAATATATATCTGCCCTTGCAGTCTTTACAGTATAGCCTTAAACATTTGATTTTTCATCTCATGCAGTGTTCCCGCCTGATTACCCGACAGTATTACAAACAATCTTTAACACCCTTGATGTAAATGCTGCTGTCTCCTTTTGATTCTGCTTCTTTTTGCTGATCACACAACCGCCACCTCTCTTTTTTTCTCACCCCCCCACTCCTCTATCACTTTTTCTTTTTTTTCTTGGTCCTTTTTCCTTTTACCAAACGCCCACCACTTCCCACCAGGCTCGGATGGAGTTGAGGCGTCTAAAACAAGAAGCGCGGAATATACACGCTGTGACAGTAATATGGGCATACTGGCAAGGAACCAAGGTATTTCCACCCAGCCGCAGTGTGTCTCACTCTGTCCCAGATGTCCTGTCATCCGTGTTCTCCATGTCCGCGTTACCATCCCATCCTCACTATGACATAGCCTAATAGAGTGGTGCAGTGAAGACATATTCGTAGCCCAACTCAGAAGTTGGCATTGCAAGGGCTCCCTCAACAAAAAGCAATGACATTTTCCTATTGGATTTTGGATTATTTGTTACAGAATAAATCCCTCTGTCAAACCCACATTTAAGATGCCTAGACAAGTGTATAAGCAGAGTATTATCCACATATTGACACTACTTTTAAGATTTAAAATCGTAAATCGCCAGAAGGCAAAAGCTAAAGCTAGGCTATCAACGAACCACATAACTTGACATGACTTCACATCAACACTGATAAGCTAAATGTGACGTGATGTTGTTTAGTAGTCTCCTTTTGCAACTTGTTGGCACCCGCTTCTTTTATGACATGTAAATGCTTCAGATATTCACCAGTGGGTAATTACTGATGTTTTTGATGTAGTACAACAAAGCGTGAATATCTCGTAAGGTTGCGTTTACCATAGATCTTATTTTGGGAAGCTAACCAAAAACTCAGAAACTAGCCGAAATGCTAAATAATTTTGGTGTTTAGGAGTCATTCTGCACCACTCTATGGAGTATCAGCCCCTCTGTTTGAACATGGATCCCAGCCATTCCGTCAGCTAATGGCCGGATCGTTGTTCATCCTTGTTTCTGTTTTGTAGCTTCTAACACGTATCATTGTCTTCATGTTTCTCGTTGTTGCTAATAATGCTAAAAATGAATTTCTACAAACATTAAACCCAACAGATCTTTTGACACTCGGAGACCAACATTAAGACCTTCTAGTTTTTGCATACTTGGGTGATTTATCATTTGTTTTAAATATATATCTAAATCTTGGCTCACATGGACAGAAAGGGGCTTGTTTTCTAGCATTGTTTCTCTAGTTTAAAAAGGAAAAGACAAGTCTCTAGCTCAAACCATTGCATAAGTTATAGCAGTTTAAAGACATTGTGTTTTTTTGGATCGTAAACGACCCAATCGGAGGGTTAACACGCCTCACATGTTTTCCATTTGTGTCTTTTTGATTTGGTTTCTAACCAATGTGGTGTTTTAAATGTGTCTTCTCTAATCTAATTAGTTTAACCGCACTGTGCCCACCACACAGATGAGTTTCAATGCTGAGGCGCCTCTTCTCATGTACAGTACTGCTGACAGCAAAATAAATAAGGATGGAAATATGTCAATACGATTGCACACGTGTTGCTGTAAAACCCCAGTGGCTGCTTATAATCAAAGCCACTGTGCAGACTTTGTAGCCGGCATGTTTAACATCTTATCAGCGTTCACTTACCATTTGACACATCCTTTGTTGTAAATAATCAATATTTCATGTCAAGGTCTCACCGCCTGCTGATGATTATCAGTTCTGACTCATAACCGATGCTGTTAAAGATTATTCTGTGTTGAATTTTAACGTTGTGCTTAGCATTTAAAAAGATAACTAAGTGGCAACTTTTTTATGGAGCTCAAGAAAAACGAAATCACAATCCAGACTGCCAACCAACAATTATTTTCATTATTGATTCATCTGGATATTGTTTTCTTGATTAATCTTTGGTCTATAAAATGTCCAAAAAAAGTACAAAATATGTCAACAACGGTATCTTAAAATCCAAGGTGATGTCATTTTCTCAAAGCAAAACCCAAATATATTTGCTTTATTATGATATAAAACGAGGAGAAGCAATGTTCTTTTACTTTTTATTCCGTGACTCATTTTTTCATGTACCTTGTTCAACAATTTATTTAGTTTGCATATAGTGGAGGAAACAAAATAAAGAAACGGGCCTTAGCATTTTTTTTGGCCTCAGAAAGTCGGAAAGAAAACAAACCATATTATTATTATTATTATTATTATTATTAACTAATTTAGTGAATTTATTTTGTATTTGATATGAATAATAATCATATTAAGGGAAGATGAATACCATAGTAATAGAAAACAAATACAGATTTAGAGTCATATTGAAAACTCATTCCAAGACAATTATATAAATGGGACTGGAATATTTCCTCATATATTCATATTACCCACCCTTGATCCAGATCATAGTAAAACATAAGCCGAATAACAGAGATCAAATAAATACAACTAATAAATAAAAACAACAAAATAAAGCCAATAAATGAAAATACGATCATAACATTGGCCATACTTGAGAAAGCACAGTAAAATTAACTATTTTGACACGTGCAGTGTCCTTCTAAACCATTACATTTACTGAGTCACAAATTGTTAGCTCCACATAAAGTTGCTCTCACGTCAATGTGACTCACCCCGTGTTCCCGTCTCTCGACATCCTTTGTTGTCTCTCGTCTTCGTAACACTTTGTCACACCTACTCAACACATCAATATTTTAAATTGTCACTGAACTTAACATCCCCCCTGCCGCAACTGCCACCGCTTCCCATCAGGCCCGGAGAGAGCTGCGTCAGCTGAAGGAGGAGGCGAGGAATAAACACGCCGTGTCGGTCATTTGGGCCGGCTGGCAAGGCACCAAGGTATTTGGGAAGCCTGTCGACCGTGACTTGCCGTGACTTGCCTGCCTCCATCGAAACACCCCTACCATCCCATCCCCAACAAAAACAAACCCCAACATACCCATCATTCTGCACAAACAATTCTACCATACACCCTCTCACACACACTTTGGATGCAGAAGTGGAAGGAAGAGTCTTTTAGTCCTCTTGAGGCTAATTTTCACAACTCAGTATGACAGGATATTGTAATTATTCTCTGTAAGTAATAGTTGGCGACCCAAGGTTACAGGTACCCCCATTCCATGCCTGCCTCTTGCATGACCCTCTCCTGTAGTTAATGCATGTTTTCTCTTTGCATTGCAGTACTTTTTGACAATTTAATTTTTTCAGATGGACCCTTTTAGGTAATCACTGATGCCTGTTACTTTTGCTCTTTTTCTGAACCTCTCAAAGTTCCACTAAAAGTCTGTTTCCATTCCAGAGGTCCCCCCCTGATAAATGTGTGCAATATTTTGTTACTGGAGCAGTACTATTGTGACACAGGGCTGGTGTGCAACTGTGTCTGTTTGATGTTTGCCCACCTCAGGCAAAATCAAACTGTCCCTTTTTTCTTCCTCATCTTTTCTCTTGCTTCATTTTGTTCCCACTCTCCGTCTCTTTTTCCCGCCCACCCTACCAAACAGGCTCGCAGGGAGCTGAGAAGACTGAAGGAAGAAGCCAGGCGTAAGCACGCTGTCGCTGTCATTTGGGCCTACTGGAAGGGACTCAAGGTACCTACCAGCCCCCCAGTGCAGCCCATCCCCATATCTCACACCTACCCATCACCCCTGACACTCTTTATCCTCCTCAACAATCTGCTTAATACATGCTTCTACAGGAAGCCAGTCTCTGCCTGGTGCTGTGGTGACACTTTATCAATAAAGGAAATTGCTGTGTCTCAGTACGGATACTTCCTTTAGTACCCCGCCATGTCATACACTGTGAAAACATATGAAGTGTCTGAATCTAGACAGGGTAGTGTTGTCCCAAAATGGCTAACTGCTGCTGTGCCTTCACCAGAAGTGACAATCCCCGCTGTTAGCTTGCTAGTAAGCTAGCTATCTACCTAGCTTTCAATGTTAACGTTTGTGATGACAAATCATTACAGACTGCTCAGTTAACCCAATCAAATTATGTCTGGCTTTTGTTTAAAACCGTTTAAAACACATATAGTGGTGCTTATATTAAATTCAGGAAAAACCTGTATAACTTTTATTTGGATAGTGCTCCCTGCAGCAATGGTAGCAAAGATGGCTGCCGAAGTGTCCAGTGGTCATCACTCATCCGTTTGACCGCAATGAGAACATAATCTGGGTTCATCTGCATGTCGTCCTACTTTGCATTGGGGCATACTTATGCACTCTAAATAGCCCATCTAACTACAGAAGTAAGCAAATTGAGTGTTTAAGAATTGTGCAGCTTTTGCAGGCACTCAACAAAACATTGGCTCAAACAATTCACAGCCCTCACATCAACGATTGATTTGTTCACGAACATGTAACAATTTCATTTAAGGATAATTTTCTTTGGAAATGACATGGTTTTAGATATATTTGAGATAATTTTAAGGGAAAGTTGCTATTTTCTTCTTTATTTTTGTATTTTTAATGCTGAAAATTGAAACCAACAGAGCTTGGCTCACATGGCAGAGTCTGTCTTTCTGTTTCCCTTTTCATATCTGTTCTTATCTAAACCCCTCCCTCTGTGTTATCTTCTGAAACTGTGCAACTAACCTCAAATAAAGCGGCACCGCTCTGTGTACCCATCAGTATTACCTTCCTTCGTTACATCTTTGTCTTTAGGTGTGTTAAATGTGTGTGTGTCCCAGTTTGTTGCGCTAATCTGTTAAGTCTCCCCCATGTTTTACCAAATAACTGGCGTAACACTGGTCATCTGTTGCAGTGTTAATCTTTCCATTGTGGTAATTACCCACCATGCACCTGTTCACAACTCAATTTGTACGATTAAGGTCGGCATGAAGGTCGTTTGTCATAACCATCATCAACTTTTCTGTAATGAATCTAGAAATTGTCATTTTACATAATTCCACCAGCTTTGGAGTTGTCTGTTCCTGCCTTGTCTTCATTGTTTGTGACTAACCAAACGTCTGTTGTTCTAGTGTGCTGACTGGTTTTAGTGTCATCCCCCCGTCAGTCTATTCCCTCTATTTCCTGCTTCAAATCAACTAATGGCTATCATAAGGGGATTGACAGTTTTTTGTAATCCTTCTCTGTTGTAAAAGGTTCGCAGAGAGTACAGAAAATTCTTCAGGGCAAACGCAGGCAAGAAGATCTATAACTTCACCATCCAGAGGATTGTAAGTGGAACAAAATCAAAATGTCCTTTTTTGTTGCTTTTTATCAAAGATTTTTGCTAGAACATCGTTCACTTGCTTTTTTGTCCATTTATTCAGATGCAGAAATATTTCCTGGGCCTGAAGAGCACCATGCCCTCCATGTCCCCCATAGACAAGAGCTGGCCTGTTAAGCCTTACCTCTTCCTGGATGGAGTTCACTCAGACCTGCGGAGAATCTTCCATCTCTGGAGGGTCGGTCACAAATAACCGGCTATAACCCCTCTCCTCTGTCTGTGCCCTTAACCCATATTTATGCATGTGGTTTATACTGTCAGTGAATATTGTGTTATACACTCCTGGAGGGCAGGCACAAAGTGAGCATTATGGTTTAGTCAAGCATTAAACTTTCAGTATAACAACAACCAATCTAAGCCACAGACTGTAACCAATCACAAAAGATCCAATCAGTGAGGAGACAACAAGTTCTATAGAACACACTAAATCCTGATTTTTAAAACTTAATTTGAAAGAAGATACAAAATCAGTGGTTCTATGTCATTTTTACTACTTTTTTATTTACTTTACCTCTATGTTACATGTTTTAAGGTTAATATTTTACTTTTTGCCAAACTCTTAAAGGCAAACGTTTATATAATACCTTTAATTATTATGAATATTTGTTTTACTTAAGGAAAAGATAAAATACTTCTTCCACCACCTACTGTACAAAATATGTTATGCTTAATACAACAACTCTTATTTCAACTGCTTTTGCTATGTGTGTATTCAGTGCAAGAAATACAGGAGCGAGTTCACAGAGGAGAAGAAGGCGGTGTTCGAGGAGAAGCTGGAGGCCAGTGAGATCTTCAAAGATAAAAAGGCTCTCTACGCCAGCAGGTACCTTACTAACAAGGACACTGCTCTTTATTTCATAGGTACAAATAAAATCTCTTAATTTCACAAAAACTTCACACTTCTCACGTTGCTCCAATGTATTTAATCTCAGTGTGAGCCAGCCCTTCATGGGAGACTACCTGGAGATCAGCAAGAACCCCAAATATCAGAAACTGAACAGCGCCATGGACGAGAAGGTCCTGCTGGCTGACGTGGTCAACAAGATCAACAGGGCCAACGGCAAGGTAACAGAGATCACTCACACTGCAATATCTTTAGCTTCTACACAAGCCAAATGGATCCAACATTTGAGCTGTGGGTACGTCGTCACCCTGCTGTTTAGAGTTCAGCTCCACTTTCCCCACAGGCCTGGTAAAGCACAACCCTATTAAGTTGTTTCGATGAGTATTTCACCCCAGCTGTGAGGCAATCTGATGTTTTCTGACACCTTAACAGCTGACATTAGTTTCTGTTCTGCAGATAGGAGACATGTGGGGATTTATGTTTCACTCTAAAATCCTGTCCCAGGTTCAAGATGAGATAAAACGATGCTGCTAAAAGAGGTTGTAAAATAATTGAATTCAAAATACTACTCTTGGTTTTTGAAAGCCGATTATGAACCATCCATGTAGGCCTTTTGTCCCCAGAGTCAAAGCTAAACATTAATAAGCAATCTGTTGTTTTTTTATGCTCCATTTATCTGGAGATAAAAAAAAAAAACTGCAGTTCTGTTGCAACTCTTATTATTTTTAAATCTAAGCTGAAGAATTTTTCTTTTGCCACTGCATTTTATTAAATAAAATAACAATATATATGAGACACAGCACAGTGATTTAATTTTTTTAAATTGTATAACTTGTTTCATTTATATTGTCTTGGCTTTTTAATGACCGTTTTTAAATGTATAAAAATGTAATCTTATAATGTTGTTTTTTTTTTAACACCATGGTGTAGTATTTGTATTATAGTATAAAATATCAGGAAAAATATAGTATAGTTTGACATAAATATTACTAATAAATACATAGTATAGGGTTGAAAAACGACAAAGTAAACTGTGGAAAATATTTTAAAAAACAACAGTATACTATATCCAAAATACGTGATAAAACGACATAGTATGTCAAAAATAAATCCTATGTTTTGTAAAGAGGTTTGAATTGCCATGTTATTCAAATCTGCTATTTAAATGATCTTGCCTTGTCATGCCTAAAAAAACATGTTTAGTCGTTGAATATTGATTTATATGATTGTTTTTAAATAATGTTTCGGACTTTATTTGCTCCGGTTGCAGGGCACGGCTCGGATCTTCCTGCTGACTAAGAACAGCGTGGTGCTGGCCGACCAGAAGACGGGTCAGGTGAAGGCCAGTGTCCCTCTGCCGGACCTCACCAGTGTGTCGGTCAGCACGCAGAGCGACGGCTTCTTCGCTCTCAAACTCAAAGAGGTAAGGGGCAGGTACGATGTGAAGTTGGATTTTAGTGCAGGTATGATACAGTACCGATCATCATCTAACTCAGCAGGAGAAGAAGTGTGAGGATTTTCTCAAAAAGTTGTCTGTTGTGACTCTAAAGAGAAGTGTTAAACAGCATTTGTGTTGTATGGTATATCGAAATATCTTGAACGACACCGAAAACAAGTTTGCACAATACAGCATTTTCTGCACACAGTGTAAATGTGTCTAATATCCAATACTATGTATTCTGATCCTGATAGAATCACAGTATGATCCGATACAGCTTTTAGCTGTTTAGTTGAACACCTGACATTGAGGTATAGGCTACATTGGGTGTGGATTTATGTCCAGTATTTTGCACTGGAATTATACAATAATCACTCAGATTAAAACCTTTGCACAAAGTTGTTCTTTACATGTAGTTTTGAAATTTTGAATGATGCTAAAAAAATCTAACTTGCTGCATTAAGTTGTGTGTGTGGGAAGGTTTTGGCAGTGTTGCATTACGAAGTCATGTTGTGGGTTATGTATTTCTGCCTTTGGGGAAGTAGACTTCTTGTTTCCTAGTCTCAGCATGATGTTTTTTTGGATGGGTAGCTCAAGCAGAGTGCATCCATACAAAGTTATGTTGACATCTTATTTTTTGGTGGAAAACAAGATGGTATCATATCTTTATTCAACAACAGAGGGCTGTGCTTGAGGTTTTAAAGAATATTTTATTGGCCAGTTTAGTGTTTTTTAGAGGGATCGCTCTGAAAGGGGGAGATGGATAGGAAGACATGGGTAAAGGGACCTAAGGCTGGATTCAAACCTGCATCTGTACCAACTGAGCTACGGTATGCGGTGGCCTTGGATTTCAGTGTTTTTTATTCAAATGCCATTGTGTTATTTGTCTCCAGGGATCTGCCTCAGCCATCAAAGGAGACTTCCTACTCAGCAGCGAACATCTGATCGAAATCATCACCAAACTTCACCGCACCGGGGCCACGGCTGCAGACAGCGAGCAGCTCAACATCGACATCTCAGACGAGTAAGAGAGCCAAGTCAAAATCCAGTAATTCTCCTCAAATGATCCAAGTTTGATTATGTTTAACGACGTGGCTAAATGTTTCTGTTTGGCAGGTTTCTGGTGCAGTTCAAACACGACAAAGTCTGCGTGAAATTCATCCAGGGAGGTCCCAAGAACGGCAACAGCGTGTCCTGCAAGCGCAAGAACAACCGCCTGCTGGAGGTGTCGGTGCCTTCAACGGTATAGTGCAGCTTCTCTTCGCCAGATTTGTTTAGGGGGATGATTCAAAACCACCGCCTACTCCTGAACTCAAGAACCATCACCCCCAGTGCCCACCCTAAGGACTGACAGTGCAGTTATTCGCCTTTTGTTGTGTTGTTGTTTTTTTTCTTCCTTCACTCTCTTTCTTATCAGATTTACTATGGCACCACTATAGCTGGCGCCACTTTTTTTTGGCAAAGAAATCCCTTATCTGGGTTGCATGCCACAAGAGTTTGGTCAAATGTTCACTGGTGTTTTGTAAAACTGGGGTAAAGAGTTGAAAAATGGATGAAACAAAGAGAAACATTTTGGTGGAGCACGAGAGGAATGTCTCCACCAGCGGCGATGTTGATTGTTCTGACTGTATGTTGATTTAGTCTTCAGAGAAAAATGTCATTATAAGAACTCTGACATTTTTCAAGCCTCAACTGGCCTTGACTCATCAATTTTTTTTAGAATTTGAGATGAACTGGGAACTTTTGGGGCCCCCTGAAGAACTTTAAATACTGCACTTGTTTTCACCTCGGTGTAATCAAAAGAGGATGAGCTGAAACTGATATTTGATTGTATGTTGTTTTTTTTTCTATATATATATATATTTTCTCTGAAACAAAGAAGGGTGGGCAGTTGATAAGTCAAATGTAATTTGCTACGTAATTGTCGAACCACTTTTTGTATCCTCCTTTATGTGCCATTGAACAGGTTACATGACTTGTCACCTGTCGGTGTACAGATATAAAACTTAGATAAAACTGTTCCCTGTTTACGGAAGAGAAGTAGGTTGTTTCTTTTGTTTGTTCTGAGATTATAGAATTCTTTATAGAAATTCTGACTTTATCTCGAACTCTAAAGAAAATGTCACTTCTGGTCAGCTCTAAAAAAAAAAGAAGAAGAAATAAATCACATGTGGCCCTAATCCTCTTCCGTAACTGTTCTTGACATCATTGCCAAAAATGTTTGAGATGGGGAATCTTTTAAACCTGCGGAGGTCAATTTAATGTACGTTTTTGAACATTTTTACAGCACTACAAGTGATCAACTTCCATTTACCTAATTTTTGGATGATTACCCAGCTTTATTTCAGCTGTGAAGACCCATTTTAAACTGAATTGATATCCTTAACTCATATGTAATTTAGGAGACCCTCTGGCTATGAGGGACACGATTTAAGACCGAATAAAGTAAATACACTTTCTGTAATATCAAGGCCAGATTCAAAGCCAAACCTCCGATATCAATCTTTTTTTGTGTGTGCAATAAATAAAATGCTCATTGTACCGTTAGCTGTACATATGCTCCGTGTGCTGTGGCCCTGGCATGGACGAGGGTTTTTCACTAGTCATTTTAAACTGCCGTGTTTGTAAAGAAAAAAGCTGTTCTTGCCACTGCCGCTTTAGTCGCTGTAGTGCTTGACCCACTCTGACCAAATGTGTATTTTTTCAAGGGGGAAAACCAAATTTAAGGCGTACACGATCATAATCAATCTGAAATAGTCGACCAGTTCTGCTACAGCTTTGGTATATATTTACATGCAAGCCAAATTTGTCAAATAAGTGATATATTTTCAGGTATATAATCTTTATTTGTACTCTGGTGTCTGTGAGGGAATAATGCAGCCAGACTTGGTTTTGTTTTGTAATCCGGTTAACCTGGGTTTGTACGTTTTTGTATTTTTTAATGTCACACACGACACAGGGACTCGAGAAATCCGTTGTGGATGTCCCACGCGCGGCGGGAACGATGGAGCTGAAATGCCAGTTTTGATGCTTTCTCTTCCTCGGCACAGTTTGAATGCATTTCTGCTTTGATGACCCCCCACATCCCTTTCCCTTTTCTCTGTTTTGTATTTGAACAATGGCTTTAGCTGCAAAATGATGTCTGCATTCTTGTGTGCCTAAATGTAAACCTGTGCTGAGAGACACGACATGGACATGTTTCAATAGAACTCAGTGTTGCATTTACAAGTAATCTTTTTCTTTTTTAAATTAAAATAAAAATCTGTAATAAATAAATAAATGTTATTCTTGGGTTCTGTCCCATTTTTTATTTTCATCATCCACACCCGAATCCCGAATCCGATGAGCAATACAGAATGTCGGGGAAAAAAAGAAATTATATATATATATCACAAATATTTATAATACATACACCTGGCTTCTATCACACAATTGTATACATGCTACACTATTTATCTTTTTAAATACTAGTACTGGATGTCTATTTTGTAAATTGTAATTTGGGTAATTTCAATTTTTATCTTTAATATGTTTGCATGCTTCCTTATTAATATTGACTCTTTACTTTTGCTGTAACAATGTTAATTTCCTCTTTTTGGGACGAATAAAGGGATTCTGATTATTTATACAAATAAAAAAAGTAAATAGAGATATTTATGTAAAGTAAAATGTGAAATGATGATAAATAGTTAAAATGTAAAATAAGGATAGGAAATAAAACAATAAAAATAACATTTATATAAACATAAGAAATTAAATCAAATGTAAAATAACATAATGTAATACACATATTTATATTGGCAAGAAGTTCAAGTAAGAATGTGCAACTAACAGCTCAAATAAAATACAAATGTTTAAATTAATAAGAAATAAGTAAAATCTTTAGAATAAGCAATAAAAACTATCAAATAAATTCAATATATTTTTATAAATACAATAAATGAAAGTAAAATAAAAGATAAAAAATAAATAATAATAATGATAGAAACACTCAGGTAGGAGTTAAACTGTGTAATGGCAACAGGCAGAATACAGTATACATGATGTTGTAGACACTTTTTTCAAAATAAAATGACTGAATCTTACCATCTTTCGAGGCCCTGGGTTGCCTTTCATCAGCAGTATCGCCACGGGGTTGACCGGGTTGGCCCCAACTAAAAAAAGGGGTGGGGGTTATATAGAGGCTGGACGACCAGGCCTTGTAGTTAAGCAGCTTGGCAGATGTTTTGCATCACATCTGCGGAGAGCTGTCCTGGGGTTACATTCTGCGGCTTTGGGAGAGCTGCCGGCAACAGGTCTCCAGGGAGCAGCCCTCAGATTGACTGGTAAAAATAGCATACCATTTTGGGCTGCCCGGTAGGCTACTCGGTTCCCACCACTCTGCAGGCTGGGAAAGGAGGGAGGAGCCCCGACCTCCCAGTGGATACCCGGCCCCTCGCTGGGAGCTGGAATTGTACAAATCACAATCCCATATCCTGTAAAAACCTGTTTTATCGAACAACATTACATCAGCATTAAAGCACGACAAGAGTTGTTACAGGTGAAAATCCTGCATGCAAAAACCAACCTAACTATAAGTATGGAATTGGCGCTAAAATGTGCTTAAAGTAGGCTACCCTGTATGCGTATTTATCTCTATCCAATTTCAAAATATCATATATTACCTTACTTGATTGTGATGCATTAGTGTGTTATTATATGTCAATGATTATCAAAAGATGTATTTATATTGTGTACTAACTAGTAATCAGAATCTATAAAGTATATTAAGCTCTTAGAGGAATGTAATGGAGTGAAAACTAAAATACTGGCATTTAAAATGTAGTGGAGTAGTATATAAAGTAGAATACAATTTAAATACTCAGGTAAAGTAGGCTACATGAATATAGGCTACAGTTTGAAACTTTTCAGCACTGTTAATTTCCAAACTATTTTGAATATCTTGCACCAATATTTATCAAATATGCTTTATTCATCGGACACCATTGAAACTATGACAGCCAATTGAGTTTATTTGGAGCATGAACATGCAGTCCTTTCTCACAGAGTGGAGACACATGGGAGGTAGTACCATGCGGTTTTGAGATTGGGTAGTCTTTAGTGACATCCCGTGGATTTTAGATGACATAACAATCAAATACAAAAAGGCACAAGAGGGAGCTAGAGGAGTATCATCAATCGAGAAGGTGTCCTTGGTCATGGCCTTTATGATACATAAAACAGCCATCAAGCTTAAGGAAAATATAAACTGCATTCTATAACCTTTTTAAAAAGTACGTATTTTTAAATGACGCTTTCGAATAATAAATGTTCCTTCTTTATAAACTGGATGTGATTCAAGTTTTCTTATCAGAATATTGGTACTTAAAACAGATAAAGTAAATATCGTAGGTGACTTTAATATTCATGTTGACGACGATAAAAATAGCCTTACTGTTGCATTTGACTCTGTATTAGATTATATTGGTTTCCGTCAGTGTAAATAAACCAACCCACTGCTATAATCACACTCTCGACCTTGTTCTGATTTATAGTGGGTTGGTTTATTTACACTGACGGAAACCAATATAATCTAATACAGAGTCAAATGCAACAGTNAGGGTTGGCAACCCTGGTATCCAGTATTATTTACACACTATTAATATTCGGGCTGTTAGTACTACATGCCGCTGTGTGTGTCTGTGTGTGTGTGTGTGTGTGTGGTGCTGTGTGTGTGTGTGTGTGTGTGTGTGGGTGCTGTGTGTGTGTGTGTGGTGTGTGTGTGTGTGTGTGCTGGTGTGTGTGGTGGTGTGTGTGTGTGTGGTGTGGTGTGTGTGTGTGTGTGTGGGTGTGTGTGTTGTGGTCTGTGTGGTGTGTGTTTGTGTGTGTAGGATAGAAGGCGAGAGGAGCTCCAGGTTGGATACTCTTCGCCAGCACTCCTCGCCGGGATGATCGGCTGCTAAAGCCTGTGACGTGCGGATTGCTCTCGCCTCGGTGAGCGATGACAACACGTGCACACCGGTCACACACACACAGCACACACACCACTCTCACACGTCTCACACACAGTCACACACCGCTCCACGAACTGCAGCTCACCACACTCAGTCACAACACGCCTGGTCACACACCAGCACACACTCAGGGGCACACAGAGTCACCACACGAGTCACACACAGTCACACACGAGTCCACACACCAGTCACACCCACACACACACTGAACACACAGCTCACACACACGCGCCAGTCAGACGACACCTCTTTCACTTCACGTTCCATCTATGTCTTATCTTCCTCCTCTATTATAGCCAAGATGTCACCACTCATACTCATCCTACTCTCTCACACCCTTTTGTTTCTTATCTCCACTTCTATTCCGTATTACTACCATTTCTATCATGCTCTATCTCCCTTACACATCTTCACACACAGTCCTCCATGTCATTAGTCTCTTACATTCTTGTGGCACACACACACACAGTCCACACACAGGTTTTTTCTTTCACACAGTCACAGCTTCAGTCACACACACAGTCTACACCACACGTCAATCACCACGTCGACACACACACACACACACACACACAGCAGTTCACACACACTACGTCACACATCAGTCACATCACCAGTCACTACGTCCACACACCTAGTCACAAGACATCACACAACACAGTCTAACACACAACCAGTCTACACACCATCAACCACGTCACACTACACACAACACACTTACACACACACAGTCACACACACACACACGCACACGACAGTCACACACAGTCACACACAGTCACACACACCACACAGTCACACACCCAGTCACACACGCAGTCACACACACAGTCACACACACGTCACACAGCACAGTCCCACACAGTCCACACACGCTCACACGCGACACCACAGTCACACACCAGCTCACAACGTCAAACACACACAGTCACACACAGTCACACACACGTCACACACAGTCACACACACAGTCACACACACAGTCACACACAGCTCACACACAGTCACAACCGTCCACACACAGTCACACACACACGTCACACACACAGTCACACACACAGTCACACCCACAGGTCAGCACAGCACAGTCAACACCAGCTCACACACACAGTCACACGACAACGTCACCACACCACAGTCCACGTCACACACACACAGTCACACACAGGTCACACACCAAGTCACACCGACACAGTCACCACACAGTCACCAGGTGCACACACACACAGTCACACACAGTCACACACAGTTCACACACACGAGTCCACACGCAGTCACACAACACATCAACCACCGCACAATCACAACACACAGTCACACACCAGTCACACCACACACAGTCACACACACCTTCACGCACACCAGTCACACCAGCATCACGCCCACACAGTCACAGCAGTCACACACCAGTAACCAACACACAGTCGGACACAAAGTCCACACACAGTCACACACGTCACCACACAGTTCACACATCACAGGTCACGCACACTCTCACGCACACGTCACAACACAGTCACACACGTCACAATCAGTTCACCCACACAATCACCACGTCACCCCAGTCCACACACAGTCACTCACGTCACACCAGTCACACACACGCAGTCACAACACAGTCACACACACAGCACGCACACCAAACACAACCAACACAGTCACACACACCAGTCACACACCCAGCCTCCACACACTCACCACACACAGTCACACCAGTCACACACACAGCACAACACACACCCACCACAGCACGACACACGCACACGTCACCACAGTCGCACCAATCACACACACAGTCACACCACAGTCAGCCACACCAGTCACACAAAGCACACACACGTCACACCAAACACAACGCTCACACACACAGTCAACACAGTCCACACACACCCAGGTCACACACACAGTCACCACAGTCACACCACAAGTCAGCAGCTCACACACCAGTCACACACACGCAGTCACACACACAGTCACACACAGTCACACCAGCACGTCACACACACAGTCCAACACAAGTCAACACAAGTGCACACCCACACACACACAACCACACATCACCACACAGGTCACACAGGTCATAACACACAGGTCACACACACGTCACACACAGTCAGCACACAACGTCCACACAGTCACACACACAGCTCACACACACTCAGTCACACACAGTCACACACCAATCACACACAGTCAACACACATCACACCACACCCACACACACGTCCACACCAGTCACCACACGAGTTAACCACACAGTCACACACGTCACACACACGTCACCACAACGTCACACACAGTCACACGCACAGTCACACACACAGTCACACACACGTCCACCACACAGGCTCACAGTCAAGTCACACACACAGTCACACACACACGTCACACACGTCACACACACAGTCACACACACAGTCACACACACAGTCCCACCACAGTCACACACAGTCACCCGACACACACAGCTCACACACAGTCACACACGAGTCACACACAACAGTCACATCACGAGTCAGCACCCACATCTCACACACACGTCACACACAGTCACACACATCGTCACCACCACTACCCACAGCTCACACACACAGTCACACACGTCACATTACAGTCACACACACCAACACACACACACCAGTCACACGAGTACACAACACAGTCCCCAGCTCACCACAAGTCACCACACAGTCACACACACAGTCACACACAGTCACACCACACAGTCACACCACGTCACACCAGTCACCACCGAGTCACACACACAGTCACCAGGTCACACCAGTCACACATACGTCAGCACACAGTCCACACCAGTCACGATAGTCACACACACGTCACACACACGTCACACACGTCAATAATCATCAATAATCAATGCTTTATTTATTAGCCCCAATATCACAATGTTACATTTGTCTCAGTGGACTTCACAGTTGTGTCAGAATATCAGTATGACAATCGACACCCTTTAATGTCCTTAGGCCCTTCACATCGTACAAGTCAAAACTTCCAGGAGAACCCACAGTTAAAGGGAAAATGGAGAACCTCAGGGAGAGCAACAAGGAGGGATCCCTCTCCAGGACGGACAGACGTGCAATTACGATGCCAGATGTGTAAATTGAAAAGATAAGTACCATTTGCAACTCTTAGTAGTCAAATGTTTGGAAATGCATGTGTGGTCTAAAGGAGATGATCCACGAGTATATCCATCAGGACTTATGATACAGGGCCACAGCCACGACTCAAGCATCCAGGATCGCAATCCATGACACAGGGCCGCCAGGATATCCATGACCTTCCGGATCCCGGGGCGAGTATTATTGACCACCAAAAGAAAGAAATTTGAGGGCGGAGCTGGGCTTAATCCGCGAACATGAGTAGTACACATGGTAGTAGCAGAGGAAGGAAGAAGTAGATGTCCCGACAAACTAAGCCTTATCAGCCAAACTAGGGGCTGAAGTCTAATCAGCCTACTATAAGCTTTATCAAAAAGGAAGGTCTTTGCGACTCTTAAAAACGGATAGTTACAACTGAGGAGCGTGTGCACGATAGATTAGGGATGTTACATGCCGCCGCAGTTCCTGCTGATGCAAACCTGGAACGACTGATTCCAAAAGTGCTCTGTCAGCTTTGAGTCAAAAGTCTATGGGCTTCCCATGGTCCGTAATTATGTATATGGGCAGGCACTATGATCGAGCTCTAGGACAAAGACAACGCCACCTAGTATGTTGGAACAAGTCCCTTCGCTCTGCCACCGGTCTTGATTATAGAAGCTGTTTGTGGACTGGTATATAATGATTCTTTAAGGTAAGACTGGCGAGGAGCCCTAGCCCATGTTTCAGGATCGTTTGGTGTCTCGAGGACTCCGAAGAAGATAAGATACAGAAAATTATATAATCTTCCTCATTGTTGAGTTTCTCTTATATAGGCTGGGAGACTCGATCGACAGGCGCAGGCCTCTCTTGACGAGAACATGTCCACCACTGCTTTCTCAAGAATTCAACTAGCGAGGCAACGCGAGTCACAAGATAACAGTAAACCATCAGGAGCTCACACTCATACATAGTTTGGACACACTCTACAAACTCCTCGCGCTCCGATACCACGAGTGTGTGCATCTTATAAGAGCCCGATGTCTCATACTCTCTACGTCACACTCCGATCGAACTCACTCTGAGATCTCACTGACCATTCGTCGAGTCGCAACACACTACGCGCAGCTACACACACGCTCCCCACAGCAAGATTACATAAACACGCACGATCACACCGTCACACACAGCACACAACATATCTATCACACTCACAATTACTCAGTTAATCACAGAACACAGTCGCTAGTCTAATGAGGAACATTAAGAAACACTTCTCGTCATATTACCACGTCTCATGATGCTTAGCGACACAGAATCTCGCAACTGTTCACACCAGGTCACCCAAGGTCACTCACAGTCACACACACACACACACTGTCACACAGTCACACACAAGCAGCGATCTACACGACTACGTCCGTTGCAATAGAGCACTTCTAGAAGAGAGACACACGAGTACGGACGACAATCACAACTGACACTAGTATCAATCTAGCATCTCAGTAACCACACATATCACCACACGTTCACACACCACGTCAGGTTTATGGCTGAAAAGCATTCTAGTTTACTATCTAGTGCAAGTATCAGAACTTACGCCTTCTGGGAGCTGTGACAACACCATACTGGTCAAAGCAAGAGGTCATTGATTTGTTTCTAAGAGTAGCAACTTTTACGTTAAAAAGCACATGAAAATCATTACTACTGAGTGCTATGGGAATAGAAGGCTCAGTCGAGCTGTGGCCTCTCTGTCAGCCTGGCTACAGTGCTGGAAAAGCAAATCTTGCATTATTCTTATTCTCATCTATTAATGAAGAGTAGTATGCTGCTCTCGCTTTACGCAGTGCTTTCTTATATTCATTGAGAGTAATATGCCAAATTAAACAAGATTCTTCAAGTTTAGTGGAACGCCATATCCTTTCAAGTTGTCTCGACTTTTGCTTTATTTTGCGGGTTACGGCATTATGCCATGGAGCTAATCTATGTTGTTTTATTTTCTTCTTTTTCAAAGGAGCAACAGAGTCTAATTTTATTCGCAGTGCATCTGTAGCACTAGCACAGGCATTAGGGGACATTTCATGAGTTCCTCCAAGTCCAATGGCTCCTCTGCACGTTGTGACTTGACAAGGAGCAGGAAAGCAAGATTGCTTTGCTCCCAATAATGGATGACCTGGAATGATATTGATAGTGTATCATTAACAAATATGGGGTCACAACAATAAAAAATAAAGGGTATTAAAATACTTAATTTCAATAATATAGTAGACCTCAGGTATTGGAACATCTCATTACCTTTCCCTGTGAGGATGTGAGGGTGACCTTTTTGTTACAAGCTTCCATAGTCTTGAGTTTCTTCTTTTTGATTGGGTCAAAGAAGCTACCTGGCTCTCTGCTCTGTAGCCGTTTGATGAACTCAGCTTTAGCATTCTTGCCCACAGTTTCTGCTTGTAGCACGTCCATCTCGACCTCCATGAGGACAGGAGCACCAGATGGTCTGAGATGGTGAAGGGGTTCGTAAAGTTCCTAATCGTCTCGATGGTTCGCTGAATGGCCTCCTCACCCTTTTTGACCTCTGCCTTCTCCAGCTCCCGATGTTTCCCCGCCCTTGGGCAGTCTGGGACTTTGATGAAGTCCACCATCTCAAGGGTCTTTTGATAAAAGTGTGCCCGTGTGGAGGTTGTTTGACACCACCTCTGGTATGCCCCAAACTGTCTGTATAGTCCAGTGAAGCCACCTTAAAAGTATGAAACAAATATGTGATCTACTGCTCCCACACAATAATTTACATGTATTTTAATTCAGAAATCATCAAATAAAATGTGGTTTTGTGAGAGCANTGCGCTGCGAATAAAGTTAGACTCTGTTGCTCCTTTGAAAAAGAAGAAAATAAAACAACATAGACTAGCTCCATGGCATAATGCCGTAACCCGCAAAATAAAGCAAAAGTCGAGAAAACTTGAAAGGATATGGCGTTCCACTAAACTTGAAGAATCTCGTTTAATTTAACTTTTGTGGAATCAGCTTCCAGTTTGTGTTCGGGTGGCAGACACCCTATCCATTTTTAAGATTGTGCTAAGACCTTCCTTTTTGATAAAGCTTATAGTTGGGGCTGATTAGATTCAGCCCCTAGTTTTGCTGATATAGGCTAAGTTTGTCGGGGGACATCTTACTTCTTCCTTGTCTCTGTCTGTACCTGTGTACTCTCATGTTCCAAATAACCCAGCTTCCCCCAAATCTCTTTTTGGTGTCTATCTACGCCGGGATCCTGAGTCGTGGCTGATCCTGTTGCTGTGGTCCTGGACCCTGAGTCCTGGATCCTGAGTCCTGGATCCTGAGTCGTGGCTGATCCTGTTGCTGTGGTCCTGGATCCTGAGTCCTGGATCCTGAGTCCTGGATCCTGAGTCGTGGCTGATCCTGTTGCTGTGGTCCTGGATCCTGAGTCCTGGATCCTGATCATATTACTTCCCTGATGGCTCCCACAGGATTGTTGATATCCTCGTGGATTCATCTTCTTATTATAGACACATGCATTTCCAAACATTTGGACTACTGTCGTTTTGTCATACTGATATTCTGTACAAACTGTGAAGTCCACTGAGACAAATGTAACATTTGTGATATTGGGCTATATAAATAAACATTGATTGATTGATTTTCCTGTCTGTATTTCCTTTGTAGCAACTACATGAATTCCCCTCTAAGAATGTGAGATATAGGAATTGTTTTGTAAAGCAAACATGGTATTTTTTGTATTTTTCCTTTAGCATTGTTAACTTTATTAACATGTTACAGTACAACATGTATAAATCAATCAAACGTTTGTATAAAGTGATACTTTCAAACATAACAACATAATTGTGCTATTTTATTGCTAGCCAAACTAAATACAGCACAAAATACATAAAGAAACACATTATATAACTTTAAAAAAAAGCTTTTACATTACATTTATTTGAGATAAAAATAGCCTCTTGACTAACAACAGAAATGTTTATTAATGTGATCTGTCCCTGTTAAATAAATAAATAAAATAAAAGGCTTCAGTTGCCATGCAAAACTAATCGTACAGTAGCTTATTTCTGAAGCAAACAGGACACGTTTGGGAACTCTCCTTAGGGGATTTCATATCCTGTCTCAATTCACTGGACTACAATAAAAATAAAAATGCTGTTGCCATGTAATAAACTTAAGTGCAGGTGAGGAATTCACTTGCTCTCGAACAACATTCATGTGCATTTGAACATTGTATGCAACTACAACAGATGAACTAACACTCTTTTTTGTACACAACCAAAACCCCTTGCTTTGACAAGAAAAAATTGGCTACTCATCCCCTACTTTGAAAAAAGTAATTGCCTGTTGATAAAAGCTGTTTTTGAACGTTGTTAGCTGATGCTAGCAGTCGAGATAAACGGTGGCCTGGAAAAGTGTTTCCCCTGATAACGTGCTGTCTTCCTACAACTTTGTAGTATGGTTCTCCTCAATGGCTGTTTGCTATCTGAAATGTTTGACGCATGCTTAACAATTTTGTAAAGTGGCCTCAGCTAAAGCACACACAGGCTACTCAACATCCACCAGAAACCAGTGTGCACTCAAAACTGGTTATTGTGGTATACAGGGTACTCTCGTGCAAAAACTAATAAATAACCTGTTTGTCTAATTATATACTTTTGAAAACTTTGTATCTTTTACTGAATGCAAACTTTCAGTGAAACGCTGTCTGGTACTTTTTTTAAATTGTATTCTCAATGTCCATATTTAATGTTTCAATTGAATCATATTAAAGTTTTTTTTTTTTTGGCCTTGTTTATGGAGATTTTGGTTCCTGAATGACAACAGGCCTGACATTGCTTGCACCGCCATTGCAGTTCCCTGCATTTGTGCAGTTCTTTACCATTGTTCTTTATCTAGGGGCCACTCAAATCCAGCTTATGGAGCCAACAACAACTTCCCATTGGAAGCACTGATCTTTTGTTGGTCTGAACATAGGAAATTCCAGACCTAAAGGTCCTTTGACAGTTGTAAAATAAGCTAATAAAACTGCTAAGATCTTGCTTTTGTCAAGTTCATTCTGGGCTATTTTATGTTAATGAGAGAAATAAATTGTATGTGAATCGTATTAAAGCATTAGCGTTTGACATAAGCTTTGACCTCTCTTTCTTCCAAAAGTGCTTGGCTTTATGGTCACTTGCTGGCTGGATAATACTGCTTCCCCCACACCGCAACATTGCAGCTTCGAAGCTAGAACTTTGTCAATTGTGACCGCAGTTTGCTCCTCAGGGTCACCAAGGAGACTCACAAAACCAAATAACGTTAAACTGCTTTTTATTCCCCCTGGCTGATTACCGCGGGTTTTTCCAAGTCCTGAATTTACGGCCGTCTAGAGTCAATAAAATCAAAGTTCAGTGCGAACATACTGAATCTCTAAATTCAACATCCAGCCCTCCCACATTTCTCCTTCTCCCAACCTTTTCTTTTTGCCATTAATTTAATGTTGCGTATTATTAAAGATAGAATCTTCATGAGTAGCTTAACCTCCTTTCTACATAAAATATTGGATCATGATATAGTGGCATATTGGGACTTTACTGTAGTAATTTGGTAAGCACATTGTCTGAATTTTGGAAGTACATCAGGGGCATACAAAGCATTTGTCTAAGTGTGGTCTTGAATCTACTCTTATGCCATTGTAGTGATAGTTCAATATATTTTTTTAGTAATGACTGCAAACATATGAAACACCCAAATATACTTGTCTATAATAATATAATGTCTTCTTCTTCTTTTTCTTCTTTATCTTCTTCCGCACCAGCCACACAATAGCAAGTGCTATCGTTTCCAGATATTGAATAAAATATCAATTACTTTCTCACCAGCTCAAACTGTGAAAATTGGGTCACAGCACACATAAAAGGCGTATTTTATGTGTGCTGGAGGTTAGTTAACCGTATTGACCGTATTGAGCTGTCGCCGCGCCAAGGCTGATTTCATTATCGAGCGAGGGACTTTAGGATGGAGATGTCAACACGTTGGCCACCACACTTCTGATTTACTTCGACAGAAATCTATGCTGTGATTTAAATGAAACCACCCATCAAGAGCGGAAACAGAATATCTGTCATTTTGAGGAGAATATATTTTTAGGTGGTGTCTGACCATGTCGGGTTAATGAAGTGAATGTCTAGTTTTGGAGGCCATTTTTTGTGTTCTTGTCAACTGCTTTTTGGAATTTAAATATGTAGTTTTTAAAACACAGTTGAGGTAGAAATCAGGACGGGACAATATATAGAGATTACCTTGATATTTAATTATGAGACTATTTATCGTCTTACATTTTGGATATTGTAATATTTACACAAGTGTGTTTTCTTGGTTTTAATAGCTGCATTATTGTGATGTATTTTCCTGAACTTTCCAGAATGCAATAGTTATATTGCCCGTTTTTACACACCAAGCCATTATATCCACATTACTGATAATTATTTGTCACAAATCTGGTTGTTGCCTATTGGTGCTGCATAATTAATAAAAATATTGTTGAAAAATCCATATGGAATATTGCAATATCAATACCGCAGAAAGCTGAATATTTGTTAAAGGCTAATAATATGTTCCCATATTGTGTAAAGTGTTGTGGAGCGGCAAAAATATCTCGGGCTAGACAATTGTTTTCTTCAGACTTATAAAACATATTTTCTTTGTTTTTTCTATTACGCCTCTTGTAGCACTTTGGGATTACTTTTAGAAATGAAAGGTGCTTTATAAATAAAATGTATTATTATTATTATTATTATTATTATCTTTGTTTGGCACTGATCCTCCTAAAAAGAGATCCCATTGTAATCAATGTAAGGTTTTTTTTATACTAAAATGGTCAATTCCTTAGACATTGTGAATCATATCGCAATTGTGTATCAGTCAAAGAAAAATAGCAATTACTTATCTTTTCACTATGGTGCATCAGGAATATTGTAATATTTAATCTTCTTTATATCACCTAGTACTAGTGGAAGTTCAGCAAATGAACACAATATCATGAAGGTTATTTCTCCAAAAAGGGTTGATTAACATTTTGTTTAAAATGTCTAAACTTAACAATCCAATTTAAGAGTTTTTTTAAATGTCTTTTCAGTTGTACTCTCATTACTATGCACTCTGGTGACTGAGACGTTTCAGAGAAGAAGAAAACAGGAGTGAGGCAGACAGGGAATTACATTAGTGCCTCTAGTGTGTCAGTAGTCTGGAGGGAGGGGCGGGGGGGACTGGAAGAGCTCTGATTAATGAGTGTTACTGGGTGGTGGAGAGTTTGTGTCCCCACTCACCCTCGTGTCACCAGCACACTCAATGGCTTCATCAATTTGTAGCCATTATCACGTCAATAGGCAAGAATGGAGGGAGGAGGGGAGTTAAGGAGTGAGGGGAGAAGGGGGCTTCTGCTGCAACATCTGTGGATAACTGACCATAGCATGATGCAGAGAGTAGAGGAGTCCTTTTGGGTTTAATAGGCCTCGATCCGTTGGTAATGCCTCAGGGTTCCTGTAGGGGGGTTCAGGCTCCTCTCATGGATGCAGTAAAGCATATAGTTTAATAAAAGGCTACATCCATTGCTCCCCTCTCTGAATACAGCCAACAAAGAGACTTTCCCAAAACTGATGTTATCAGTTTTTTTTCCTATGAAACTGTTGTTTAGTATAAGAGAAATAAAGGCCTTAATGTTTTCAATACATATAAAGGACATCAAATTATAATAGAATGACACAATACTACAAAAAAGTTTATAAATTCAAAACATTTAGGAAGATCAAAAGACAAGCAGAATAATGAAAGAGTTGAAAAAAATTGACTTTATATTTCATTATTGGATATATGCTACACTCTAAAAACGAATTCAGGGGACCTTTCACCTCCACTTTATTAAATGCATGGTTGCAAGATAAAAATGTGTCACGATTCTCATGTTATGTCACGTTTTTAGTTTTGTATGTCTAGGTTTGGGTTTATTTTGCTGTTCGGTTCTCCCTGGCCCTTTCTCATTTCATCAAATCCCCCTCCTCGACTCCTCGATCTTCCGGTAGTGACCCGGAAATGAATTTCAGCGTGCCATGTTGAAGGACATCTCATTTCTCTAAATGCACTTCGAGGACCGAGGATCGAGCGTTGAGGAGGTATAACCGAGGATACACTGATGGGTCCTCCACGGTCCTCCACGGCTCCTTCGTAGATGCATTTCCGGGAACAGAGATGTTTCAAAGAGGCGTGACGCACGG